TTTATTTGTTGCTTTATTGTTGAATTTAAATTAACAAATTTAGTTTCGTAAGATATAAATGAAAAAAATGGATTGTCTGTCATGATTTAGAAGCCCAAATTTTAAAGTTCCCCTCAAATCCCACGAAACATAGGAACAGCCCTGTGCACACTATTCCTCACACTTTTTTTTTTTCTTTTAAACATTCTTCTACGTGGTAACATCTACGTTCTTGATTTAAAACTCATCCGTCATATTATTGCACATATTTTCTTCACATAATAGGGAATGTCAACCATGTTATAAAGGAGGATGTACTAATATACATATAACATTATTCTCTATGAACTAAGAAAAAAATGTATTTTAAGGGAATTATTTATTGTCGGTAGATGAATAGTTTATGAATTATGAAAACTATTAATTTAAGTGTGCTGAAGTGTAGTTTACATCACGCAACTCTAGACCAAATCAACAGGAAACTCTCCTAATGAAGACGACATAAGTGGTGACACTAGCGAAATAACATCGTAAAATTGTTTGAAAATTTGAGTAAATAAAGTGAATAATACATAACTACGATACAATTTCAATTTTGACAAACTTGTCTGTCTGTTTTCTTTTTTTGTTTTTTTTCAGGTCAAAAAAAGGCTTGTTATTATATTTTATAGACATAATATATGGATATAAGATAAGGAAAGATATTTCCCTTCAATTAAGGAATTGGTTACTCATGCTGTCAAATATAGGTAGTATTAATTAAATAAATAATGAAATATATTTTATTAATTAAATAGATAATTAAATAAATTAAGGTCACAATATCATACTGTTTATGGTCACATTACGTACTTGTTACAATCACAGAACGTTACAGTTACAAATCACATATTTTATAGTTCACAACTTATTTATTAGTTACAATTTATCAAACTAATTGACCACGACTTATTTCTCAAACACAAATCACACATTTTATAGGTCACAATTTATTTCACGGTCACACGTTATTAAATTAATTTGTTTCAAGTTATTTCTTGATCATAATTTATTAAATTAATTGATCACGACTTATTTTTTAGTCACAAATCACAAATTTTATAGGTTAAAACTTATTTCAATGTCACAAATTATTAATTTAATTGCTTACAAGTTATTTCTCGATTATAATTTATCAAATTAATTGATCACAATTTCTTTTTCGATCACAAACTACAAATTTTATAAATCTCAACTTATTTCACGACCACATATTATCAAGTGAATTTGTCACATGTCATTTCTAGATCATAAATTATGAAATTAATTGATCCAAACTTATTTATCGATCACGAAAACACAAATTATAGGTAAAGATTATAAATCTAATCACAGATCACATATTTTTTAGGTCACATATTATTTATTAGTCACAATTATTCAATAATTGATCACAATCGCTCTTCATCTGACCCACCACCATCCCCACAGATTGCTCTAACCATCACCACCACCACCACCACTGCTTGCACCCTACCCCAGATCACACCACCAAGTACCACACTACACCAATAACAAACCACCAACACCACCTGCACCAACAACCACCACCACCACAATATCACCATCACCACCACAACAACAATCATCATAACCACCACCAATCATCACCAACACCCAGTCTCACCAACAAGCTACAGATTGCACCACACCAACAACCACATTACCGCACCACCACCACAATCGTTGCCATCACCACCTCAATTACACAACCATCACAATCACCATCACCACAACCACCACTTGCAATGCATCACATCCACATCAAATCAAAAATCAACACCACAACTAAAAAAGAAAAAAAAAAACACCACACCCCTTTAAAAAAATAAATGCTGGCTACAACTACCGATCTTCACTCTCGTCGTTTTCTATGGCAATGACTGTGGCTGCGACGAATCTTTTATTTTGTGATGCAAGTGTGATTTTGGGGTTAGATGATATTTCCCTTGATTTGTTTCATTCATATGCTGTGACTTATCTGAAAGAGATTGTAGATTTAATGATACAATCCAGTATGAAAACGAATGTTGCCGGTTTATTCTATTGTTCGTCATGATGTTCCTGATGAATGTTTGATGATTCTTGGAGGAGAGGTGTTGCCTGTCGAGCATTGAGGTCCAGAGGATTGAATGGCCATTATTGGATGATAAAATTAGGGTTGGACAAAATTTTCAAACCGAACTAAACCGAATTGAGCGATTCTTCTTAAATTAAATATCTGAACGAGTATCTAAATCGAGAATTGACGAGTTTGGTTCAGTTCTAGATCTAGAATCGAAGAACCAAATTTTCCTAATTTTTTATCTTAAATAAGTCAAATTTCTTTATTTTTTTAAAATTAATTTGCTAACTAATTAATTTAGCTCGAACCTAAAATATGATTTTACT